GGTGGCAGCAGCGGCCGTGGCGGCGGTGGTGGCGGCGACGTTGGCAGCGGCGCGGCGGTGGAGGCCAACGAGAGAGCAAGTGTGTGCAGCGGTGGCGCCGAACTGCGGCGGTAGCCGCTGCCACTTTTCGATACGGTGCGATTAGAACGACGCTGCACGGAAACGACGGGAAGACACGGGCTCTGTTCGTATCGACCCCGCCTAAACCCCGCCTTGCAGCGACGGAGCCGCACGAGCGACGCCGAGCGTCGACGAGCGTCGACGAACCAGCCGGTTTCCTTCCCCGACCTCGTCCTTTTCCGTCATCGCGACCTTTCCTCTTCTTCCTCAACCCTCCCACGTCATCCTGCCCTTACCACTTTTTCACCCTTAGCCATCCCTCGATCATTCCGTTCATCCATCGATCCATCCATCGATCGTACGCGTCCAGACCCGACCGCCTCGTTCCTCGAGCCTGTTCGCTCGCGAGTCGCTGAAAACGGGACTGATCGATTCGTAGCTCGATCGCTCGTAGATCGTCCCGCTTTTATCGCTTCTCCGCTGTCTATGTTCTTTCTTCGTCCCCTGTGCGTTCCGCGTTCGCTCGAGCGAAACTTTCTTCCAGCGTTTCGACCAGCGAACGGACGCTCGATGCGGAGACGAACGAGAGATCGAGATGCTCGCGCGAATCGATGCGATCGCGTTTTTTCCAAAGCAGAGCACGGATAAACTATGCACGGTTAATCAGTGCGAGGAACTCGTTGGACCATACAGACCTTTTCCACGTCGCTCCAATTATTATTAGGTGCCCGCGGTGCAGTCGCGGTGCATCGAGCATAAAGAGCCTGCTTTCGAACATTTACGAACGGCGACGCTGTTCCGTATCGCGATAAAACTATACGGAGGAATACGCACGATAAATATGCAGGCATACGAGCGCGGCACTGCGTGCTAATAAATATGGGACACCGGCAGCGAAGCTGCTTATTAAACGCGTTCGATCAACGATTCATCGAGGCTTCTAGTTTCGTAACTTCAGCCTGCGTGTCAAAGAAACGAGGCAGTCGCGGTTGCACGATCGTAAAGGCGTTATTCTAGTTACCACGATAGCTACGCATACAGTCGCACCGTCTGCCGATAACGCGCTACGAAAGCCACCGAACCGTATTCGAGAAATATCTCGTGCTCCGTGCCACAGGGTCGCCCGTCAGCGCATCGCCAGCTATTGTAAATTTAAATTATTGCGCTATTTATAGAACAAGCAACCGGTTCATCCTGATTGGTCGCGCCGCGCACTTTTCGCCCATTTCTTCCTTCTTCTATTTTCTATCGCGCTACCGAACCTACGCGCTCCTCCACTCGAACTTTTAAACCTACGTGACGTCTGTCAAGCGCCGACAAATTGCGCCGCTGATTTCATCATCGGTCAAGCGTCGCGTGAAGTCTCAGCATCGGTTTTCACGATTTCGATCGGACAGCTCGGTGAAATTTAGCGCGCGGCGTGACGCGACTACGAGACATCGCAGACGCCATGGAATAGGGGCGCACAGGGTTCGCTCAGGGGCGCCTAAGAATAGGTTCCCTCGCTGAACGCGACGGCGAGGAATGCTCGTCCGGAAATTCGATTTTAGCGGAAAAATTAAGCGAGAAAGAAGCGCGATTATGCCTGTATGCCGATGCGAGCTCGCGCGGCGGGGGGACAGAGAGAGAAGTACGAGAAGTCGACTGATCGATCGGCGGCGACGCGGTAGTCCGCTTCATAGCGACATCGCCTTGAAAAGAGACAGTCGCCGAGCGAACCCGGTTTTGCGTCCATCGAGGCAGCACGACTCTCTGGTCGATCGACGCTGATGGGCGGACGGATGGGCATGGTTATAGCTGTTAAAATGGCGCCAGACTCCGACCACTTCGACCACCCATTCGACTGTGCGCAGTTGCGGCTCCGCCTGCCAACTGCGCGCGCTGCCCGCCCGATGCTTATATGTTTCCGTCTCGAATCTCCGACCTACGCTAAGCATTCCGACTTTTCCCTCATCTTTTCCGATCTCTTCGTTGCGTCACCGGAGTCGCCTAATTAGAATCCAACTGCTCGCTCAATCTGACATCTCGCGGACCCTCGAGTACCTCCACAGCGGCATCTAGGAAAGCGTCTACGGCGAGATATTGTCGCGAAGATTAAATCGTTTCGTCGGCCTTGCGTATGCTAGGTCGTTGTTGGAAAGTTGGAAAAGCGGAGGAAAGATGCGTCGGTCCGATTTTCATGCTTCCGAAATTTCTTCGGGATTCGAGATTCGATTATTTCGCGAAAATATAACGCGGATGCGCAATATCTAGGGTTATTATTCTTTTTTACCATTCGTTTTCCAGCACTGTCTGTCACGGTTTGTCCCGTGTTCTTTGCTGACGTTTATTTACAATCGCATGACTTTGCGGTGAATCATCTCGCAAGTCCCATTTGCCGCGAAGATATTTCGGTTTTGAGATTCGAGAAACGTCAAACTTGCACGATTGACGATGAGTGCGATAATATAGTTGGTAATCTTTTCGCGGGATATCCAGTTTCGTGGATGCAAATGGAGATCCAGGTGGAGGTACAGGGCGTAAACGAAGACAGAGAACTCTGTATAAAATTAATTCTTTAATGATTTAGGTTTTAATGTTAAAATTGTACACAAGATTGCTAGGAAATTCATTTATAGGGGATAATTGAGTAAAACGTCTTGTCTGGCTAATTCGAGCAACATAGGATCGTCGAAGAACTTGTTGATGGACACGTCCTCCGAGAGTCCCTTCCGCCTTCTGGTTTTCAACATAAATTCTCTAGCTAAATGTGTGGCTGGTTGTGGCTCGAGAGGACGAATCGTGATACTCTTGTCCAACGGGTCACCAGGTACGATTTGCCAGTGGTGAAACACGGACAGACAGAATGCCTGGCCTTGCGTGTGGGTTCGCAAGTCGGTCTCGAAACCGAAGCTATCGATTGCCGGAATGAACGCTTTGATGGTGTATAGGGGACTTCCGGGAACGGGAGCGTCTTGAGTCACGTGACCTCTCCTTTTAGCCAACACGGTATACACCGCCGAAACGCAGTCCGCAGGCGCTTGAACCTCCACGAACAAATAGGGCTCCATCAGCCTGGGCGTTGCCATGAGGAAGGCGGAATAGGCTACTCTCCTGGCGGTTGGAATTATTTGACCACCTGTGAAAAGAAAACGATTAATCTTGTTCGCGATATGAAAAAGGAAAAGGAAAAACCGTGAAAATTCCGTACCTCCACGATGGAGAGGTTCCTGCGCGATTACGGCGTCCAAAATTTTGAACTTTACGTTTCGAATCGGTTCCTCGCACAGGGGGCCTTCTCGAGTACCCCATTGGAAACCTTGAATAATGGCGTCGCGAGCGCTGTTCAATAACGTTTTATCCACTTCCGATGGTAAAGTATCGTCGACCAGGATATTCGGACCCGTGGCATCAGGACCAAACGCCCATATACTTCGCGCCGCTAGCAAATCCCAGTCGTACTTGGTTTGAAAGAATTCTCCTAGTCGTTTTCTGCAAGGGCGAACGCATTCTGTTTTGTACACCGAGCTTTTATAGGGACCTTTTATACCTACTTGTTCCAAAGACCCGACCGCCTCGTTCCTCGAGCCTGTTCGCTCGCGAGTCGCTGAAAACGGGACTGATCGATTCGTAGCTCGATCGCTCGTAGATCGTCCCGCTTTTATCGCTTCTCCGCTGTCTATGTTCTTTCTTCGTCCCCTGTGCGTTCCGCGTTCGCTCGAGCGAAACTTTCTTCCAGCGTTTCGACCAGCGAACGGACGCTCGATGCGGAGACGAACGAGAGATCGAGATGCTCGCGCGAATCGATGCGATCGCGTTTTTTCCAAAGCAGAGCACGGATAAACTATGCACGGTTAATCAGTGCGAGGAACTCGTTGGACCATACAGACCTTTTCCACGTCGCTCCAATTATTATTAGGTGCCCGCGGTGCAGTCGCGGTGCATCGAGCATAAAGAGCCTGCTTTCGAACATTTACGAACGGCGACGCTGTTCCGTATCGCGATAAAACTATACGGAGGAATACGCACGATAAATATGCAGGCATACGAGCGCGGCACTGCGTGCTAATAAATATGGGACACCGGCAGCGAAGCTGCTTATTAAACGCGTTCGATCAACGATTCATCGAGGCTTCTAGTTTCGTAACTTCAGCCTGCGTGTCAAAGAAACGAGGCAGTCGCGGTTGCACGATCGTAAAGGCGTTATTCTAGTTACCACGATAGCTACGCATACAGTCGCACCGTCTGCCGATAACGCGCTACGAAAGCCACCGAACCGTATTCGAGAAATATCTCGTGCTCCGTGCCACAGGGTCGCCCGTCAGCGCATCGCCAGCTATTGTAAATTTAAATTATTGCGCTATTTATAGAACAAGCAACCGGTTCATCCTGATTGGTCGCGCCGCGCACTTTTCGCCCATTTCTTCCTTCTTCTATTTTCTATCGCGCTACCGAACCTACGCGCTCCTCCACTCGAACTTTTAAACCTACGTGACGTCTGTCAAGCGCCGACAAATTGCGCCGCTGATTTCATCATCGGTCAAGCGTCGCGTGAAGTCTCAGCATCGGTTTTCACGATTTCGATCGGACAGCTCGGTGAAATTTAGCGCGCGGCGTGACGCGACTACGAGACATCGCAGACGCCATGGAATAGGGGCGCTCAGGGGCGCGCAGGGGCGCACAGGGTTCGCTCAGGGGCGCCTAAGAATAGGTTCCCTCGCTGAACGCGACGGCGAGGAATGCTCGTCCGGAAATTCGATTTTAGCGGAAAAATTAAGCGAGAAAGAAGCGCGATTATGCCTGTATGCCGATGCGAGCTCGCGCGGCGGGGGGACAGAGAGAGAAGTACGAGAAGTCGACTGATCGATCGGCGGCGACGCGGTAGTCCGCTTCATAGCGACATCGCCTTGAAAAGAGACAGTCGCCGAGCGAACCCGGTTTTGCGTCCATCGAGGCAGCACGACTCTCTGGTCGATCGACGCTGATGGGCGGACGGATGGGCATGGTTATAGCTGTTAAAATGGCGCCAGACTCCGACCACTTCGACCACCCATTCGACTGTGCGCAGTTGCGGCTCCGCCTGCCAACTGCGCGCGCTGCCCGCCCGATGCTTATATGTTTCCGTCTCGAATCTCCGACCTACGCTAAGCATTCCGACTTTTCCCTCATCTTTTCCGATCTCTTCGTTGCGTCACCGGAGTCGCCTAATTAGAATCCAACTGCTCGCTCAATCTGACATCTCGCGGACCCTCGAGTACCTCCACAGCGGCATCTAGGAAAGCGTCTACGGCGAGATATTGTCGCGAAGATTAAATCGTTTCGTCGGCCTTGCGTATGCTAGGTCGTTGTTGGAAAGTTGGAAAAGCGGAGGAAAGATGCGTCGGTCCGATTTTCATGCTTCCGAAATTTCTTCGGGATTCGAGATTCGATTATTTCGCGAAAATATAACGCGGATGCGCAATATCTAGGGTTATTATTCTTTTTTACCATTCGTTTTCCAGCACTGTCTGTCACGGTTTGTCCCGTGTTCTTTGCTGACGTTTATTTACAATCGCATGACTTTGCGGTGAATCATCTCGCAAGTCCCATTTGCCGCGAAGATATTTCGGTTTTGAGATTCGAGAAACGTCAAACTTGCACGATTGACGATGAGTGCGATAATATAGTTGGTAATCTTTTCGCGGGATATCCAGTTTCGTGGATGCAAATGGAGATCCAGGTGGAGGTACAGGGCGTAAACGAAGACAGAGAACTCTGTATAAAATTAATTCTTTAATGATTTAGGTTTTAATGTTAAAATTGTACACAAGATTGCTAGGAAATTCATTTATAGGGGATAATTGAGTAAAACGTCTTGTCTGGCTAATTCGAGCAACATAGGATCGTCGAAGAACTTGTTGATGGACACGTCCTCCGAGAGTCCCTTCCGCCTTCTGGTTTTCAACATAAATTCTCTAGCTAAATGTGTGGCTGGTTGTGGCTCGAGAGGACGAATCGTGATACTCTTGTCCAACGGGTCACCAGGTACGATTTGCCAGTGGTGAAACACGGACAGACAGAATGCCTGGCCTTGCGTGTGGGTTCGCAAGTCGGTCTCGAAACCGAAGCTATCGATTGCCGGAATGAACGCTTTGATGGTGTATAGGGGACTTCCGGGAACGGGAGCGTCTTGAGTCACGTGACCTCTCCTTTTAGCCAACACGGTATACACCGCCGAAACGCAGTCCGCAGGCGCTTGAACCTCCACGAACAAATAGGGCTCCATCAGCCTGGGCGTTGCCATGAGGAAGGCGGAATAGGCTACTCTCCTGGCGGTTGGAATTATTTGACCACCTGTGAAAAGAAAACGATTAATCTTGTTCGCGATATGAAAAAGGAAAAGGAAAAACCGTGAAAATTCCGTACCTCCACGATGGAGAGGTTCCTGCGCGATTACGGCGTCCAAAATTTTGAACTTTACGTTTCGAATCGGTTCCTCGCACAGGGGGCCTTCTCGAGTACCCCATTGGAAACCTTGAATAATGGCGTCGCGAGCGCTGTTCAATAACGTTTTATCCACTTCCGATGGTAAAGTATCGTCGACCAGGATATTCGGACCCGTGGCATCAGGACCAAACGCCCATATACTTCGCGCCGCTAGCAAATCCCAGTCGTACTTGGTTTGAAAGAATTCTCCTAGTCGTTTTCTGCAAGGGCGAACGCATTCTGTTTTGTACACCGAGCTTTTATAGGGACCTTTTATACCTACTTGTTCCACGTGATTTTAACGTGCTCGGCCTCGATGTCCTCTGCAAGACCTCTCTCAAGTGGCTCGGCGATCATCGTTAACTTGTTCCGTTTATTGGGTGTCTCGGCGAAACACTTGAGAGAACTCGTTTCTACCACCGTCTCCGCGAAAGCAACCACAGGGTCGGCCACTTTTATATCGATTTCCGAATACATACGACGTAAGTCGTGCATCGCGCAATCCAAGTACAATTCACCGGTACCTAAGACCACGTGTTCGCCACTTTCTTCGACCCTGGTACCCAACAGAGGATAGCTTTTGTTCACTTTTCTCAGACCGTCTAACATCTTTGGCAATTCCGAAGGGTTGACAGGTTCCACGGCAATTTTTATTACACTCTGTGTATTGAATTTCAGCGGCCGGAAGATGTGAAGGTCGTCCGAGTTACTCAGGTCCGTAATCGTACTTGTCTTTACTATGGGTCTGTCTATGCCCTCGATAAGAACCCAGTTGCCCGCGGGAACTCGGTTCAGCTCGATCGAATAGCGTGCTTCGCTAATCCACAACCTTCCCACGGTTAAAACCCGAGAATCCTCCTCGTCCGTACGCGAGTACGCTTCGCCTAATACGCGGACGCGTTGTCCCGCTTCGAGAGTGCCTGACATTACCCTTCCGAGGACTACGAACAGGGTACAGTCCTCGGTAGGATACATTTTCGTGCTGTGAATCATTAATCTGCCCTGTAAATATCGTTACCGCATTAGATTCTCTGTGCAGAGAAGTACAAAGTATTCGTGGTGTAAATATTTCGCAAGTACTAACGTCAGGATCGCAATTGATCATGTCCTGCGCAAGGGATGAATCCATAGACCCTGTGTATACGTGTTGAACTTTAACCGGTGCGTGAGACTGAGGACTAGGAACGTGAGCTACGCACATATCGACCAATCCGCACATATCACCCAAAAAGCGCGTGCATACCAATCTCAACAGAGGTCTAATGTTCATTTTCATTTCTTCGGACGTTAGTCTTATGCCTAACTCATCGAGTACTGTGGAAGTAAGTTACGACATTATGTTATGGTAAACGAGAACTATCGATTCGATTTAGAGGCAAGTTCACTAACCATCGGGTAGCGTTGTGTCGACGTCACCGACAACTTGCGCAAAGATCTTATACAATGGCTCGAGAATGAATTCGATGAAACTGCGTTGTGCCGTATTATGCGGTGGTTTCTTCGTGAACTTTCGCGTTTTCGAGTTGAAGTAAATGTCACCCCATAATCGTTTCGCAAATTCGTTGGCGTTAAGCAAGGGGTGGGTCTTAGCGTAAAGCGCCGCGAAGGATTTGAGGGTGAAACAGACATTATATTCCGAACTGGCGAAACATACATTCCCAATTGCAGGTGATACGAAAGAGGGATTTTCGGAATCTGAGTATAATGCTATTAATCCATTAATTTCTTCGATGATGTGCCTTAATTTATAGTACGCGTCTAAGGGGGGCAATTTTAGTTCTAGAATGAGTCGGTCTATCTTATTTATGCAAACGGTTAACGCAAGTTTTTCCTGAAGGGCATGTTTCAGTAAACGTTCCGTGTTCAACATAACGCCTTCGGCTGCGTCGACGATCAGTATCGCTCCATCGGATAAACGTATCGCTGCTGTCGCCTCGTCGGAAAAATTTACGTGACCGGGTGTATCGAATATATTTAAAAGATACGACTTTGACTTCACGTCTTGTAGCAACAAAGTCACCGGTGTTGCTTTTGTCGATACTCCTCGCTGTTGCTCCGTGAATAACGTATCTGTATACCTAAGAACATAGATAATACGCGTGTATTATTTTTAAAGTTAAATTGAGGTTATTATTTGAAGTATTTACAAACGACTATTATACCTTAAAGGTTTTTCATCTGTTACACTGTGCAAATACGGGTGAGTTTGCCTCACTAGACAATCGACCAAAGTAGTTTTGCCATGATGTAAGTGACCAAGTAGAACAACGTTACGTATGAGATGTGGTGCATCCATCATATCTGCTAAAAATTCTATGCTATAAGTGGTTTCTGGAAGTTGTTGCTGTTTTATTTGAAACTTTGGTTTTCTTGTTGGCGCAATTAGTGGTTTATCTAACGGTTGTGCATCTTCTTCTTGTACTAATGTTTCTACCTATAATACGTTTCAATTAGATATATTTTGTTCGCGTTGAAAATAACAGGAGCAAAACATATATATCCCGGTTTGTTTTACCTCTGGTCCATAGACTTCTAAAGCACTTGGATAATATCTTTTATCCTCGTGCAACACAACTGCCATAGAATTTCCTTGGTCTGATTGTTCTCTATTTTCATCCTTGTCCTCTTCCATCTCCTCGTCGGAACGTTCCCTGTCTTCTGCATCGTCTCCTGCGTTTCCATATTCATTTTCATCTTCGCTATCAGAGGCTAAATCAGGGCCGATATAATTGCCGAATTCGTCATACAAATCTGCATCCATGGTTCTTTGTTTTTATTTACTTAAACTGCAAACATACAAATTTTTGAAATATAACATTTTTATTCAAACTAATAAAGGAAGATATTTGTGGTCGTTTATTATTATTTTACGTATTTATTTTTTATTTTATTTTGCATCGAAATCAGGTTAATCGCGATTGTTTACAAGCAGTTAGGGTTAGGAACATAACCTTCAAAGTGATAAATGATCGGTTAAATATAACGATGATTAAAAGCGTAGCAATTGCCACCAAATTCTATTGGACTTGATCCAATGCTTGTGAACGTATTAATATTATATACTTACTACAATTAATATTGCTCGAATAACAGCACAAAAATACTTAATCAACTTTACAATTGATTACACTCGTAAGGCAGGCATCTTGTAAGTAATGTTACAAAGTAAATTATATATACGTTTTTGCATAGATTTATAATTAATATATCAACGAGTACTAAGGCTGATTAATTATTTTATACACTTTACACGTGTATTATTCTCGTTTCATATATATATGTATACATATAAGTTTGTATAGTACGAAGTTGACTGCGAGTCGGTCAAGCGGCTTGCCAATATAACGAAATCATTGTTTACATATATATTTAGGCTATTGTCACATGACAAATGAATATTTTTGAATCTGCTAAGTAAATTTGTAAAATTTTCACGCTTACGAATGGAAATAGTTTTTAACTCCAAGTTACATTTCTATTTCTATATTATACCGGATTAAAGACTGTTGGCATCACTGCAATGCATGTAATGCTGCAAGATATGTCGCTAGAGTAATGTTTGCGCGCATGGTCATAAAAGTATACAAGACCTATTGTATACGACACTACGTTAAAGCTTACACAAACATACTTTCCACATAGATACGAATGTTGCGCACAGTGGCCCAGGCTGACAGCTGGAAGAACGTGAAACAGGAGTGGCAGATCATGTAAGGTGGGTATTATTTATTTCATTCGAATATAGACTAGGCCGAGACGATTCCATTACCGTGGTATAGTCTGCCAATCCCTAGATAAACGTTGTGAACTTCTCGTCTAATTTTGTCCTATTAAGTATAATTGACACACCCGTTACATCGACGACGCGGTAGCATAACTTTTCACCTATCGTGTTCATGTAAACAAAACGATTATATTAGGAGCTATTGAGTATTGAAAAGCAACACATTGTCAATTTCGATCGTCTAATGTAAGTTAACCCTTTCAGGATACTTTAGTCACAGAGTGAAACTTGACAATTCACGAGCAGACGCGCTGCTAAGAATACATTAGAAGAGTTGACAGGATAGGCAGAAGAAGGCAGAGCAGCGGGGGCGGGGGTGGGAGAACAAGAGGCGGTATGACACGACCCCCCAATAATGACAACCTTATGACCTTCAAATTGGTCGTGGTTGGAGATGGAGGTGTTGGAAAGAGCGCGCTTACCATACAGTTCTTTCAAAAGTTATTTGTCACTGACTATGATCCTACCATCGAGGACAGTTACATTCAACATACAGAGGTAGACAAACAGTGGTGCATCTTAGATGGTAAGTCAAATGTTATTAGTAATATTTCATTGCTTTGATACGTTCATTTCTGCTATCCGCTATCTTTGGATTATGCTTGGTGCATTTTATTAGCTCTACAACGCATTCTTATGTACAAAGGTTTATTCGTACCTAACAGTGCTAGATACTGCTGGTCAAGAAGAATTCAGTGCCATGCGTGAACAATACATGCGCAAGGGTGATGGGTTTCTGTTAGTATACTCTGTGACTGATAAACAATCTTACGAGAATATCATGAATTTTTATACCCAAATACTTAGGGTAAAGGATAGAGACGTATACCCTATGCTTTTGGTAGCCAATAAAGTTGACTTGGTACATTTGAGAAAGGTTACAGAGGAACAGGGAAGGGAGTTGGCTCATCGATTGGGTATACCTTATATTGAAACCTCTGCCAAAGACCCGCCATTAAATGTAGATGCAGCATTCCACGAGGTAGGGAATCAAATGAGAAAAAGAGTAGAAAGAATTGAGGAAGAATGAAAGAAAGAATAATTGTATAGTTGCATGCGAGGTGAAAAATTAGTTAAGGGACTTGAATAATTTTGCTCCAGGTCGTTCGTATTATCAGAAATCAGCCTCCAGCCGAGTTGGAAAAAAATCGGAGGAAACGAAGACGTTCGGGGAAATGTAATCTTTTATAAAGCTCGAAACTATCGAGCGAGTATTGGGATTGCGTAATGATTGCGCACTACCTTTTAAAAGGGTCACTTTTTTTTTTTTTCGAAAAAGTGAAACGCACCTGCCAAAAAAGAAACAAAAATATGAAAAAGTGGGTCTTCTGTCCTCCATCGTATATAGGTACATATGATTCGTACATTTTCCTTTTTTCGTCGATTCACGTGTGAGTTGGTAGTATTATTAAGCATCGATCCCACCCTTGTAAAATAAGTGTACAAAACAGTAACGATAAGAGATGCATCGATCGAAAGAAAAACAATGCTATATGTATCTCCGAGACGCAACTAGATTTTTTAAAAAATCAATTCAGCATTAGTTTAAGACTTAAAAAAATCGAAAAAATTTGTCGGAGGTATTGACTGTTCATCATCACGATAATACGAGACCACGTCTCAGTACGCGTGAATACATCAATTTTTTACCATTGACAAAACACTATGGAATTGAGCGTTTTTTATTGCACAATGCATAATTCTATAGAGAAATCTTTTTACTTCTTCACGTAATAAGATCTTGTCATGAAATGACTATAATAGTTTCTCATATATTGACTCGGCTCTTTTTTTAAACAGCGGTAAAAGATTATAGCTTCAAGCGATTCTATTTATTTTATTTAAGTTAAATCGTTTATTCTACGTTTCCTCGTGTTGTTACGTATGTGATATACTCCTTGACAATTTTGTTGTTTCATCGAGACGAAGATATTCGATACGTTAAGACTTTTGTTCGGTCGTTTTCTACACTGCGTTTCTTCGATCGAATTGAAATGAAATTATTTTATTAAATCTTCGATCATCGTCTCCTCGTAGCGATGTAAATAATATTCGAAAATGTTAATTCTTTAAATTAACAACGAGTTTCTCTTTCGTCGGTAAATATGCATTAGGTGTTTGGAGCCTAATGAATAATAAATATTCTGAATCAGGAATGAAGTATTGAACGTAAGGCAGTATTGCCTTTGCTATTAGATTATTGGCTTTCGTATTTACAGAGGTCTGATATAAAATATTTATGGTGTTCGAATTTTCCAAGAAATACTTGCGCAATACTTGCGTATTCAGTTTAGTCGGTGAAAGTCGAAAGATTAGCGTATTATTCAAGAGAAAGATGTGCAATGAGCAACGTATTGCGTCTGCGATGCGAGTAAAATTTTCGTTCACTTGGCAATAATTTCTTTTCTTCGTCGATTATTCTAGATTTCAAATATTTCTACTCGATCGTGTTGCAGCGATACTTTCATTATGTCAGACCTTTTTACATATGTATATTAAGGAAATAATGCCATGGCCTATCTTAGTATTTAAACGTGAAAAAGGGAGTACGTACATTTAAGGAGCGCTCTAATTGCGCGTATAAATGAAATTTAAGGTTACACGTGAATGCAGATACCAAACAGTGAATTATTTTTCGCGCTTATACAGATTCGAACGTTGCAATCTGTCGTACGTAATATTCGTCTTACACCTTCTACGTACTCGATGTGTATGGAATATGTAAATTATGAGATTATCAACGTGGAGATTATAACGCGAATTTCTCATTTATCTTTCGTTGATGTACGATCGCAGCAATTCTCCTTTCATTTGCGCTTTTCACTTCCTTTCCGAAAGGGTTAGCACACAGCTTGCAAAATTCGCTCGTATAATGTAACTCGCGACTGTAGCACAATGAGTATTTAATTCTTCGCTGTATGTTAACGATAAGTGCGCGTTGTTTGTAGTGTACACGACGTTGTAAAGGTACGAGAGGCAGGAGGGCAGTTTATTAATTGCTTTGGTACCTTCTTTGCGAGAATCTTTAGCGAGAAACCGTGTTTGGATTTTCTTTCGACTACGACACGATATTCCAAAGTTCAGTCTTTGTTTCTAATTATCGGAATTCCATTCTATTATCATATTTTAGTGTACGCACAAAGTGTTTCTCCTATATACGTAGGAACGGTGTGAAACTGAACACTGATACTATGGTATGTACGCACAAGATGCGCACAAATGTCTTGGCGGCACCGATTAATTCTAACAGTGAAACATATTTGCCTTGAGATAAAAATAATTTGTATTATAAACGGTGAAGGTTAACGAAGGAATCCAGGTAGTCGTCGCATAGCAAAAAATCCACTTCGACATTCTTTGACAATGAAAAGAGAGAGAGAGAAAGAGAGAGAGAGAGAGAGAGAGAGAGAGAGAGATAAGAAAAAAAAAAATAGAAACGGTCATCGTATTTTATAATTAGCGGAATGTCGGAAAGATTAGGTTCGATTTTCATTTGCCAATGAGAGGTTCGTAAATTAAGAGTGTTATTTTAGCTAATCTATTTTCTCAGATTCGGAGAAAGCTCAACGCGTAGTTTAAAATTGCACTGCACACGAGTAAACAATTGTACAAATTTTACCGAAACGTTTATACGACACTACAAACTTATGATTCCGTTACAGTCACGGTATGAAATATTCGCGAATCGTATCGTTCCGCATAAAATTTGCAAATTGTACGCGAGCATATATTAACCGTTTACGGGTCCACGAAATCTGTCGAACGTGTGGGCAACCGAATTGATTTCCGTACTACGCGAACGTAGCATTCGCGTGATATAATACGGGTTACGCGTACATTTCTCTCGCAAGTCGAGACAAATCGCTGCTTCGTTCAAAGCCCGTACGATTCGATAGTGAACGTTACATCGGTGAATAAACGTGGACCATCATCCATTTCAGCCTATCGATCGGGAATTTCTACGTTAAAATTAATCGAACGACGTCCCCGGCGTTCCCAGCGAACGCAAAGTTATGGTTTTCGTTAAAATTTCAGCGTTAAGGATCGGATTTTACATGGAACGAAATAAAGCAGCGATTATCGCGGGGATAAAAGGGATAAAAGAACAAAGGAACTGTATAATGCATGCATATTGTAAGAAGTTTTTAGACACTCAGGATTTAGCGTTCCTCGCATGTTATAATAATCTGTAACAAAAGCGCAACGTTTTTTATCGCCGTCCATGAGAGAGGATCGTAAAAGGATGAAGGAAAATGGAAGCTCACCTGTGGTTACACGTGCAATTCGAAACGGCCACGATGTCCACGTATGAAATGGAACTTGCACGCGAAACGCGTACGAGCATCGCGCGGACCTCGAGGAAGAG